CTCTCTCTCTCTCTCTCTCTCTCTCTCTCTTATTTTGCCATTTATAATAAAGTATAGTATCTTAAACAATATCATCTCAAATTTAATGTTAATATTATTTTTGCACTTAAACCATATATTTCTTAAAATAAATTTCACGATTATATAAACTTACTATTAAGAGTTTTAATAAATTATAAATGAGATTAACTTAATGTCAATATAATATTAATTCAAATATTTATTTTAATAAATATACAAACTTCATAATTTTAGATAAAATTAAGCAGAATTTATTAACAATTTATAACTTTAACTTTTACCTAATAAGTTATTAGTTTTTTAATGAATATTCTTAAATGACTATTAAGAATAAATTACAAATTATCTTGTTTATTTTTTATTTATATTATACAGTATAACTAATACTGTATATCGTAACCAGTATTAACATATTAAATCTTAAGATCTTTTTTTATAATTATATTTTGTAAAAATTATCGCTTGCGTAAGCTTTTAAAAATTTAATGAATTTATTTTAATTATAATATTGAATAAGATATTAACATATAATTATAAAACAATTTTCCTTTAGGCATCGGTGTATTCATATGCTGTGAAAACCTTAATAACAGTCTCAACGCTTATGCTTTTGGGTCTTATTGTGGCCTATCATTCACTGGAAGTGCAGGTCATTCATTATTTGCTTAATTTATTATGTTAATTCATGTAATAAGCTTATAATATTAGTTTATCATGTCAAATAACATTAGTTTATAATCACAACTTTGCTTTGATACTAATTTTAGTGTATTACTGTATATAGTGTAGAATTTCATATATTATACTTTATATACGTTGATATACTCGTATAATTTTATTATATCGAAAAAGTTTCATATTATAATCTATCTTCTATCAAATTTTTAAAAAATAAAAATATATTGTTAAAATTCAAGTGATTGTGTTATGAATCACAAAAATATATAGATTTTAAATTTTAATAAGAATTTTAGATAACAAATATAGGCTAAAAAGTTTAACCATTAATTTAAACCTTTTTCCAATATGTGAATGAAATTCTATTAATATCTCAGCACTAGTCGATGAGAATTGACAAAAGGATTTAGAATTTATTATATAAAGTTAACCAAAATATGATATAAAAAGGGACTTTGCCAGAATATAATGATTCTACAATATAATATAAAATGCAATCTAAAAAGATTGCGATTTTCCTAAATTGTCTTGTGAAATTATACATTAATTATCGATTTTTAATTCAATTTTTATAGCGATTAATTCAAAAACAAATATTAGTTTTTAATTATAACAGATTATTGTTAAAGTCATTAATTATAATTTATGAGTGACAGCCAACACTAATTCTTTGTTTATTTATTCACAAATTATTAACTATATTCGTGATGCTTTTGTTTGCTATTATTATAATATTATTGATTTTATAAAATAATAAGAATTTCATGTTTTATGCAGTTATTTATGATCGATAATTGTGTTGATGACTGGAGAATAGCCATGACTTCCCAAAGAATGGGACTCATTGTACTGGAATTAGTGATTTGCTCCATGCATCCCATTCCTGGTGAATATAGCTTTGTTTGGACCACAAAGTTGGCAAACCGTGGCGGAAGGTTTCAAAGCAGCTCTGTTGAGGTATACCACCATTGATTTGATCTATAATACAATATCTGTGATACTGAAGAAATGCTTGAAATCATGAAAAACAGGTGCCAATAGATGTGGCACTTTCTTTGCCAATGTTTTTTCGCCTATACCTCATTTGTCGGGTGATGTTATTGCACAGCAAGCTATTTACGGACGCCTCCTCCCGAAGTATCGGTGCTCTAAACAGAATTAACTTCAACACACGCTTTGTCCTCAAGACACTCATGACCATATGTCCCGGCACTTGCCTTATGGTCTTTTTGGTCTCTCTTTGGATTATTGGCAGTTGGACTATGAGATTGTGCGAGAGGTCTGTCTAATTATTCATTACTTCCATTATATTTATATTATTTAGCATTACAATCATAATAAATATAATAACAATAATAAATAATTAAAATTGGTTTTCATAACAGTGTTTGTAGCTTTAATTTTACAAATAAATTGAATTTAAATATTTAGATATTATGTTATTATGAAGTGGAATGAATTATTTGGTTTATCGCGAGTTTAGAATTTTTCCTAAAAGGCATTTTTGTTAAAACGAGTTCAACATAAAAATTGATCTTTTCTAAAAATTTATGTCAATTTTATATCTTTTATGTCTCTATATATGAAACATCTCTCTGTGTTGTAGATGTGATATAAATTTATATACAATATCTCTCTGTTTTGTCCTAAAATATTGAATTTGCAATCAATTTAATCGATACACTTATTGAATTAATGCAAACATAATAAATTGAATAAACAACGATTTAGACATTCAATGAATTGAAATTTAAGCGAAAGTAAACTAATAAATAGAGAATGTTTTATAGTCTACTAGAATCGTGTGTAGACTTAGACTATATTGACTCTGTTTTATATTTATTAAAGATTTTATGTGAAGACATTTCTCTTGTTTTCCAATAATATTTCTTTAGTTCCTTATTATCGACTGAACGAGTATTGGAGAATAAAGTGGTTAATATATCGACCAATTAGTAGACCATATATTTGTATGTATTTATTGATTATTTTTATTTGGCAAGAAATCCCACTTAAAAACACATAGAATATAAAACAGTCATCTATTGAATACATTTAGTCCATAATAGAGACGGTTTTCCTCATAGGTTTGCCATCAAAAGAATGAGAGAATAATTAAAATAAACTGATATGAAAGTATAATTTAACTATTTTATCAAATTTATATCACAATAATCTCATAACATTCATGAGTTCTGCAATGCTTTCAATAGTAAGAGCAGTAATGAAGTCACAGCTCTTTCTCTTCATATAAGACTTCGTCTGCAGAATATTCACTACTTTTGCATAACATTATAAAAATAGTAAATCGTTTCCGTTTTGACAATTTCTGAGTTGCATTTACTTTATTGTTCAGAAATGTTGAATAACTTACACGTGAAAGAGCTTTTTAGCCTTTCATATAGGTCTTGAAAATGACTACTTTAAAATTAATTAAAATACTTTACTTTACGTAATTTTAATCTAAAGAGAGACAAATCAAATAAACGTTTAATTATTTTTAAAAAGAGCTCATAAAATAAGCAAAGAGTGAAATGAAAGTAACGAATATTTTGCAGATATCACGACGAAGAACACGCAAACCTATTGAACACTATGTGGTTGGTTGCCATCACCTTCTTGTCTATTGGTTACGGAGATATAGTTCCCAACACGTATGATATCAACATTTGTTACACTTATTTAAATATATTTATTCAGATGTCCTAAATTGATTAGTTCAGAATGATTATATTTTATTGCTTTTTTATTTGATTTAATGAGAGATTATTGCTTTGTCTCAGATATTGTGGACGAGGAATAGCCGTTTGTTCGGGACTTATTGTAAGTAAACATTTTAGCTATTTAATTGCTATTTTAATAATATCTTAAAATAGTTAAAGTATAACTTGAAATTCATTTCACGAACAGAATTTATTGATTAAATTCTTGAATTGTGCAAACTTAATATTTAATTCAAATATCAATTAGCAGACAATACAACTTAATAACAGTTCAATTACGTAAAATATTGAAATAAGAAAAACAACTCATTTGCAATTTATATGGTTGTATAAGAAAATTGTACTTGTTTGAAATAATATATTTTCATTCAATATATAAAAACAAATTATGCATATAAGAAAGAGTATTTATAGCAATTCTTTATAATGAAATAAACTTAATTCTAGAGTATATTTATATCTATATTATATAATTATATATTAATTACAATTCAATCGATATATTCAGTATTTAATTAAATGTTGTTATTCGCAGTAAGAGTTCATTCAAACAGAAATATAATGAATAGATTTCAGTACTTTAAGAGATTTTGTACAGAACTTTAACGCTATAAAGAAAATGCATTAATAGTCTGTTTTATATTGATAGGGCGCCGGTTGTACGGCTCTGGTAGTGGCAGTTATAGCAAGAAAGTTAGAGTTATCCCGAGCAGAAAAGCATGTTCACAACTTCATGATGGATACTCAGCTCACTAAAAGGGTAAGTGTGTTATGTGTTATGTTTTCTTGATTAATCTTTTTCTCGAATCATATGAATTACAATAAAAGCGATAGAAAATTATATTTTAAATTCTAGAAATAGATATACCAAATGTCATTCAGTAGTCCTAGTACAGAATAGTAAAGTAAATCACTACAGTGTATCTAATTTAGAAGTTCTGTATAATAAATAGAGTTATGATTTATTTTAAGCTATTATATACTTTTGTATATTGCAATCAATATATTGAGAAAACAAATATTATATCAAAAAAACATTTGATTTTAATAAATATATGATTATTTCACTCAAAGAAATACCGTAATGCTCCAATAAATCGACCAAAAAGTTAGATTACAGTCACTACAGAACAACTCCATTAAACATTCTTTTATATCCAGTCTATAGATAGATATACTGTATATTATTATTTCGAAATGTCATACAATATATTTGTCACATTATTCCGTTATTCTATACATTTTCTCAATTACTTTTCACTTTATTTCAATTGCTGTGTATATCAATCGATTGTTAATACGCAAGGAGTGATACTTAAAATAACAATTTTTCCTGCTAACTTAATGTACCTTTTAAAGATATTAGAGTTATAGAGTTATATATTCTACGGCTAAAACTTTCAAATTAAGAGTAAAATATTGTAAATAAATAATATTCTAGAGCTAAAAGGCGATAACTTTATGATATTAGTGTTCACTAAATATGAGTTATTTCTTTACAATAAAGTTGTGCTAAGTTTTCACTTCTATAACTATTATACCCATAGAAGTGATGCTACATTAGTCACCCATTTATCTAGGGAGACATCGCTTTACTATAACGACTAGTCTTGAAGTAATGTAAAATCAGTTACTTATAACTGTAAATATAGGCTTAAATTCTATTATTTTGAATTGGATGACCACTTTTAATTCTTTATAGAATTTGTTATAATATATTCTGAACATTTTAACATTGTAGGTTTTTAGTAAAATGTTTAAAATGGCCTATTTCTGTAAACTGATAATCAATTAGATTTTGTAAATTTAAGCGTGTTTTTAATATTTCTTGATAAGAATCAGACGTTTGAATCTATTTATAACTATGTTAATTATAATTATTTCTATTAGTTTATAGTAATACAGAAAAATTATATGAAAACATTAGAAAATAAAATAAGATGAAAATATAATCAAATATGTAATGAATATAAAATGACTAAATTTACAAAATAAATATATCCTTGATGAACTTATACTGTATTTTGTGAAAACCAGTTAAAGAATGCGGCGGCAAATGTATTGAGGGAGACGTGGCTTATCTACAAGAATACAAAACTAACCAAAAAAATAAACACATCGCGCGTACGAACACATCAGAGAAAGTTTTTATTAGCCATCTATAGGTAACTTATATTTGAATTGCCTATAAGTCGCAGCTATAATGTATATCTATTAAAAACACTTTTGTCGTTTGATTTATAGCCTTAGAAAAGTGAAAATGGATCAGAGGAAACTCATGGATAACGCCAACACCATCACAGATATGGCAAAAGTAAGACAATCGATCGCATCATTAAACTATACAAATGACTCGATCCTCTAACTTTTACAACACATTCATTATATCGCCTAATAGTTTAGTCGTTTAGAGAATATATTTTCCGACAAATTCATTAAAAAGTTTAAAAAATATATAAAAAATAAGATTACGGTACTTTTAATTTAAAAGGATCGCTCGAATAAGTTATAAAAAACTGTTGGGAAAATTGAATTAAACTGAATGTTGCCTTTCAGTTGCAGAACAATGTCTATGAGATTGTGTCGGATATAAACGCGAGACAAGAATTATTAGACGAGAAGATGATTACAATAGAGGACAGAATGTCTATGATTTACGAGCAAATCGAGGCTTTGCCCGACTTATTGACGAAAGTTATACAACAAAATCATTCACATCAGGCCATAAGGAACTCGTTGCCCACATTAGTCGAGAATATAAATGAGAAAAACGACTTAAAATCGCAGCAAGCTAACTATACATACGCCAACACGAACTCCAATCCGGCAGAGCAGTCACAAAAGCATACATTTCTGCACCCGAATGACGCCCAGGCGGGTCGGCCGAGTTGGTCCGTCTCCAACCTCACCTCACCGGCCACTGGCGGCCGACAATTCCTAACGCCAACTGTTTTAAGGACCAGTTCTGTTGACACGTGACTTTTCTCCTATTTCTCGTGTCATCTATCAAATACTTAATTATTATATAATTAGACAATATTTGTGACATTAAGTCAATTAAAATATAGTAATAAAAAGATTGCTGTGATTGTGTTAAACACAATATGTGGTAATTATTTATCATTTAGACAACACTTCCAATTACATGTCTTTAGTGTATAGATATGCGATGAAATTGAATTATAGTTTTCACAACAATAGTACTGTATTCACAATCTATAGGATTAGACACTCTCTAATAGTAAGATGTCTTTGATATACTTAAAGCCATCAAATATCTTACTCTAAAGACTATTATTTAAAGCAATTCATTCAGTTTTTACAACAAATCTTCAGAATAGAGCACTCATTCAAAGTGAACATTTGTATAAATATTTTTCTTTTAGACTTTCCTTTTATGAATATATTGTATAGAAGTGTGTATTTATATTAATATAGATATTTTACGCAATGGTTTTCATCATTTTCTTCTCATTACTACTTAACGATCAATTCTCCAAAGTTAAGCATTGCTCTCAAATGCTTATATATCTAAAGCACACATTCTATTCAATAAGGAATCAATATTTTATTAGACTTTATAAAATATGTCATATTATTTGTTATTATTCAATTTACACACTTTACATATAAAGTGCAAAACATTTACAAATTATGTAACCATATAATTAACTAAAATAAGTTAAATTAAATTAAAGTTAAATTTCTTAAAATAAAGTATTAATTAATAAAATATTGTTAAATACAATTAATTATTAACACTTACAGATTTAAATTTGTTACAAAGTATCAAATTATGTCACAAAATAACTCTTAAGATTTCGATTTAGTTTTACTAACAAAATAACACACCTTGTCAAATTTTATTAAATTTTAGTTTGAGTTATTACACAATGTTATTGTAAATTTAGATACTTAAGTACTGTATAATTTGACTGTAAAAAATGACCCTAACCCTCTCTTCACATCATAGAGTTGATAAATACTGTTGGACTAATCATAAGAAAAGTCATGTAATGCTTTGAATTTCTTGACTGAAATTGTGAACATTAGAACATTAGACCAAACTTATCAGTTATCAAGATAAGTTATCAATGATAAGTTATCATATAAATACTTATTGATAGTATTTGGTCAATTATAGTATATGGTCTGTAATCCCAAACAATTTTACTTTATGTTTTCTACAAATATTATATGACTAAACAACACAATGAAAGTTATTTTTACATAAGTAAATTAGACAAACCCCTTTTTTATCAAACAAATTATTTTATTTACATAACACAAAACAAAAGTTTAAATATAGTGTATCACAGGTATTACTATTAAATATACTATTTGTTAGAATTTCATTATTACTAACTTAATTAAAAAGTTAAAAGTTATTCAAAAAATAAATATTTTGTAAAAAGTGCCTCAAAATTGTCATCACGAAAATAGAAATTAATTTTAAGAAATTAAAAATATTGAGTTTTAAATACATTCATTGTAAACAAAAATATTATTAATTTTATTTTAAATTGTTTAAAACAATATTCTGTTTGGATTGAGTAAAATTAAGTTTCTACTATAAATTATTAATTATATAAACTAATTTTCATTGTAATGTATGTAACAAACATTGTTTGAATTTATTTTGCATTTTGTAATCTTTGTAAAAATTTCGATTAAACAATTTTGAATGACTTGACTCGATGTGACCTTGCTGCTATTTAGTATGTAAATAATTCAAATGAAATATATGATGGATTCATGCAAATTCAATACCNTTATTAATTATATAAACTAATTTTCATTGTAATGTATGTAACAAACATTGTTTGAATTTATTTTGCATTTTGTAATCTTTGTAAAAATTTCGATTAAACAATTTTGAATGACTTGACTCGATGTGACCTTGCTGCTATTTAGTATGTAAATAATTCAAATGAAATATATGATGGATTCATGCAAATTCAATACCGTCCTGGTATTTTACTGTATGTCCTAACATTTTGACCACGTTTTATGAGTGCATTCATGATTGAGCATAAATTAAAAATTTAGTGCATTTGACATTTTAATTAAAATATTGACATTTTGTCATTTGAATTGACAGCATAATGTGTGGTATAGTGATGTGGTGATGAGTTGACCATGGCACTTTTGCATTCAATTCTCAAATTCTGGAGTTAATCGTTTATGGCATACATCACTGCATTGCTATTCTTGCATATCAAGTGTTGCCGTGAAAACACTTTTACAGTGTTTTTGGAGCCAAAGCAATGACAACAGGAATATAGTGGACGTCATTGACGGTCAACCCATTGAATGGTTGTTTTGATGCATTGGTGGCACACGTGCTGTGACTGTGAACGAGTGAAACACATGTTTGCCTCAAAGATGTCATGTGAATGTGATTCAAATGATTGTCTCTTTCAGTCTTTAAATCAGTGATCAAACCATCAAAATGAAGACAAAACCTATTTCTCACAAATCGGACAACACTTTCAAAGTAAGCATTCATTTGATTATCAATTACTCGACGTTTGTATTGACTGTGAATTGGGTTATAGTTTCAGTCCTTCGGCGAGCGTTTGTCTCAAATAAATGTTTCGGTTTTACATAATCTTCACAAACGGGTGGACAACGTGTCCACCGATGAGTCCATCACTTACTTCGCCATTACGTACGAGAAGTGGTTTGACCTCAACTGCAGCCAACATTTCACTGATTTAAGAAAATCGGTGGGAAATGTGGTTTCGGTGCAGACTTTGCCGCAGATAGTGAACCGAAAGGACCAGTTGGTGGACATTCTGGTCCACAACCTCAACATCAAAGACAATTTGGCTCAAAATGTAGTGTTAGAACTGGTGGTGTCTTTGGCTCGCGATCTGAGCACAGATTTCTACCAATACTTCGGAAGAATATTCTCGTGTTTGACTGAATTGCTGGACACAAATGATCCCGAATTGATTGAACAGATCTTCGTTTGTCTCACATTTCTTTTCAAATATCTCTGGAAATACATAATCAAAGAGTTTGACATTAATTACAAACTACTGACAACTCTATTGAAGAGCAAAAAGGATTACATCCGAGAATTCACGTCAGAATCGGTTTCATTTATGATCAGAAAGTGTGGCAACAAATCAGTGATAATCGATGTGTTGTTTGAAAGTGTCATAAATGACCGCAAGTTAGTGGAAGGCGTCGCACAACTGCTCTACCATTCACTCAAAGGAGTGAATCACGACTTCCATAGTTGTGCCCAAACTTTGATCCCTTTATTGTTTGACAGATATTTTGTTAGAGAAGACCATAATTTAGAGCAAATGATAGCTTTTATGTTCAAACAATTGGTTGAGTTTACATCAAAAGAGAATTTGAATATAATTTGGACGACACTTCTCATTGATTGTAAATCTAATGTAATTGCTCTCAAGAAAGTGATATCACTGTTGAACGCAATCATAGCCTTCAAAAATTGTCATTTAGTTGGAAATGCATCGAAATTAGTTCACTATTTAGTAGAGTATTTAAATAATAATGGTTTGGACGATAGCATGAAAAATAATATTTTGAATTCTTTGAAATATCTGTTATTTAATTGTTTTAATGCATTGTCTGCAGAAGACATTGAACTCATTAATACGACAATCTTTTCATCAAATTGTCTGACAAATGAACAAATATTTGAATTCTCCAAAAGTGTTGCCAATTGTATGGTATTTGAGAGAATCATTTTGCCATCAATTTTGACATTATGTTCAACTCATCTGAAGAGTGGTTTGTATCACTCAAATGAGTTCAACCTTTCACTCAAATTTTTGACTGAATTAATATTAACTAAACGTCGGCGACCTATATATGGAAGTGATGTCAACAATTTGTCCAAATATGTGCTCAAGTTTGCTGAAGACTTTTGTCATATATTATTGGATGTGATCACTAAAACTGATGACTTGAAGATGATTTGGTCCGCTTTTATTTGTTTACCAAACTTTGTTCCCATAACCGATAAATCAAATATCTGTCGATTAATATCTCATACTGTAATGAAACTCGAGTCCAGGTTAACCACTGATTCAGACAATCGTTGGTTTGGATACGTTGTCGTCGAAGCGGTCACTGCTTTAGTCATATTGAAAACCGATGAACCAATCCATGAGTTGACTCCAAACTTCTTCATTGAGTTGATTTTGAGGAATAAATCAAACATTGAATTACTTCAAGCTTTCGATTTGTTCCTATCATTCAACAAACAATGGTCTGAAGATATTTTGGATTTAAATCTTTTGGAAATGATTTACAAGCAGTCACTCGAAGACAACTTGTCCTCATTTCACAGAATTAGAAGATTATTAACATTACATGTGTTGACACTATTTGATCCGCCACTCCCTCCATCTGAAGACACAACTACTTCTAAAACTTCTGTTTTAAACATTTGTTTTACGGCCGAAACAATTGCGAGTGATTTACATGAATATCGCTCTAAAATCAATGCTCTTCAACATCTTGAGTACCCATTAGTGAAGCAATTGATTCCATTGAAGACATCCGACGGTCTAGACTTCGAGCAAATGCCAATCCATTACTTATTTGGAGCCCTTTATGAAAATCTTTCGCTTTTATGGCAACCAATTCAACGACTTATTGAAAGCTATGCAAAGGGTTATAAAAACAAACATTTATTTTTTGATATATTGTTTTCACATTTGAAACAAACTACTCAACAAATATATGCCACAAATCCTATTGAATCTAATTATTACCAAAAAGATATCCAATGTTATTTGAAATCGAGTCAATCTTTGGTGAAATGTGAAATCGAGGCCTCCATTAGACCTGATTTTGCAAATCATAGACTTTTAATATTGAAAACAATGCAATCGTTGGCTGAATTCATTGAGCCATTGAATCGAGAATTTGTTCCCATTTTCTTTGATTTCTTAGAAAATGAAATGAATTCCCAATTGATTTTTGGTCAGAATTCCAAAGAAGATATTAGGAGTGAAGTGCAAACAAATGAGTCTCCGATGGAAATGGACTCAAATGAAAGTGTAAAAGACAGTTCAGTTGAATGTCATTCAGGAATCGGTCGCAAAGTGCTTTGGAAGAGTTTCTTCTCATTTTTGGGCGTTTTATCCAAATTCAAAAACCCAAAGGCTTTATATCGCGACAAAGAGCTGACAAATATTTGTCTCAATTTATTGAGTTCTCCCGACTCTGAGCTACAAAAGAATGCATTCAATTGTATCATAAGTTATAAGTATTCATATTTGGATGGATTTCACGACAATTTCTTGCGATTAATCGATGAAAAGACATTTAAATCTGAAATCAATTCCCTTATATTGAATTCAGAGGACGAGAAGAATGTTCTTCAGGCGGAGAATCGATCGATGATTATTCCGATTCTTATGCGAATTCTTTACGGAAAAATGATGGCAACCAATGGCACCAAAAGACACGGCAAGAATAGTGCGGACTTCCGGCGCTCAATAATTCTCAAAGTGTTGTCCGCTTTCAACCAAAACGAACTCATTTTGTTTTTGGACTTAATATTTGCGCCGATTATTGAATTTGTTGGACACGACTATCAAACTTTGGATGAAAGCATCAAAACAAAGCTAAGTCTTAAGGAATGCATACCTTTGCGCCAATTGCAGGCTATGATCAAAACGTTAGACTTTGTTTTGAAACATTTGGGAAACAACTCGCAAGCAATCACTGCTTACATATTTAAAGTTTTAGTTGTTATCTCCACTTTTGTCTCTCAATTGTTATCTGAAAATCGCGACTCAATTAATGATCACTCGATTATCCGTTTGAAAGACATCCGATCCAATTGTCTGAAAATTGGCAAAATATTCTTCGAGACATTTGACGCATACGACTACTCGAGCATTGAATTGGACGCACTCTTTGAAGGCCTCGTTTGGTCGCAATTGTCTTATTTGGACACTCAGAGCATTACCTCCATTTCCCCTCTCTTAACATTCCTGATTAGTTTGAGTGAAAACTCGCGTTATTTTAAATTGTTTGCCAAAAGTCATTCGTCAGACAAAACAATGACACCAATCAATGCAATACTAAAACTTTACACAAATCCTAAATCTCATTCACAAGTTATTAGTGCCATCACTCAACTCATTGAGAATTTGTTAGTTTTGGATACTTTCAGTGAATCTAATGAACAAAACATATCGGAAATAGTTGTTAACCAAACTCATACAACAGTGAACTATAATGCCAATAATGACATGAATTTTGGGACTTTTATATTAATTCCGTATACTTCAGACATATTAAACAGAATTTATATTAATTTTGAAAATAATAAGAAAACTAAAGATAAAAAGGGAAAGAAAAGCAAAACTTCAGCGTTTAGTTCACAGGAACTGACTATTCTTTCGCGACTCAGCGCTTATGTCTCACAATCGGACGAAAGCTTTAAATTAATAATTCTTTTGATTAATAGCTTTGATTTGAAGAGAAATGACGAGCAAAAGGAATTGCAAACAATGCAAGCGTTGTCTCATTTAGTGAAGAATGTGGCAAAACTGGATGTCACACATGTCTTGAGATCATTGGTTCCATTGTTTGGCATAATTCGCAACTCTTTTTCCCGAACACAACTCTGTCACACATTTGAGACGTTAGCACAAAGTGAACCACAGTTGCTATCATTGTCTAAAATGATTGCAGACATGAATGCTTATAATCCTAAATTCCCTGAAGAACCAGATTATCCCAAAAGAATTGCTGCCTTTAAAACAATTAACTCTACTCTACAATCAATTTCTCGCAATGAATTTAATTATGAAATAATTTCCGTTTTGTTTTATAACTGTATTTATTTAATACAATTCTGTGAAGATATGGCAATTCGTGAGTCGGCTTTGGATGTAATCAGAAATGTTTTGAAGAAATTTGAGGAATTCGACGACAATTATCTCTTCAATGTATTGGTTATTAAACTCTTGTTATATTCGACTATATCTAAAGGACTCAGGAATAAGTCCGAATCAATTAGGCATCAAATGATTGAATTACTTGTTTCATTGATTGAAATCAATGGTCAAAGACATGTGATTCTCAAACAACTGTCACTTCTGTGTAATAAAGAAGACGAAGAAATAGATTTTTGGCTGAATATAAAACACATTCAAATTCATAGGAGAACTCGAGCACTGAATCGTTTTGCCAAAAATGAAGATTTGCTAAAAAGTCTATCGAATAAGATATTCTCCGACTTCTTGATTCCGTTGACCACAAACTTTCTGAAAGATGTTCAGTACAGCAAACAGACAGCACTGATGAATGCATCGGTTGAAGCTATCGGCGCCTTCTCTAAGCACATCCATTGGAATAAATACTATTTTATTCTCAAATACTATGTCAATCAACTGATCCAACAAAAAGGCGATCAGAAAATGAATATAAAAGTTATTTCTTCTATTTTGGATAACTTTTCTTTCGATGCATCCAATCGTTGTAATGAAGAAGAGATCCCAACCGATGAAGAAATGGAAACTAATGTCAAATCATTGAATACCAGTAATGTCTTGCCCTCTAATGATAAGATATATGACTCGGCTGTCAATCATTTATTACCGCTTCTGCATAAGTGTTTGCATCAAAAGTCACAAATAGATTATGCGTTCGACTCCATGAAGAATGAGTACTCAGAAGACGATGAGATCCAAAGAGTTCCCATCGCTTTGGCTATAATTAAGTTATTAAAGTCAATGAATTGTAGTCAACAAGTCTTAAAGTCAAACATATCGAGTGTTTTCCTACGTTTGTGTCAATTCTTGCAGTCGAGGACTCAGAGTATAAGGGATTTGGCGAGAAATACATTCGTTAAAGTGATGGAGTGTTTGGGCCCTAAATATGTGGCGAATGCTCTCAAAGAAATGCGTTCATCGCTTTCCAAAGGATATCAAAGGCATGTCTTTGTTTACTCCGTTTATACCATTCTTGCGAGTCTTAGACCGCAATTAAAATGTGGAGATTTGGACAATTGTTTGGATACTTTGCTCGAAGTGTGCTCTTTAGAGCTCTTTGGAAATCTATCGGAAGAGAAGGAGGTCTCGCAGATCACCACTAAATTAAAAGAAGCGAAAAAATGCAAAAGTTTTGATATTTTCCAAATTTTAGCAACAGTTGTATCACAAGATTGTTTGCCTCAATTGTTAGCGCCGCTAAAAACAACACTACTGGGCGCTCATAACCATAAAGTTGTGAGAAAAGTATCTCAAAGTCTTAGTAAAGTGGGTCAGGGGTTGGTATCAAACTCCGGGCTAACTCACGAAGCGCTTATAAAATTCATTTATGACTTAACTAATGATACGCTTTTAGAGCGACGGTTGAAATTAGATAACAATTTGAATGACACGCCAAAGAAGAGCGAAAACAAAAGGATCGATTCGCGTCTTATTGTAAAACCCATTTACCAGAGATCCGAAAAAGTATCCAAAATCGGTGAGACATCCAACTCACACGTTATCATTGAATTTGGTTTGAATGGATTTTTAGCGCTAATCAAACAAAAGCGGATCCAAACTTCAAATGAAGAACATTTAGCACTTCTGGACCCCTTTATTCCTCTATTGGAAACAATATTGGATTCAAAAGATGCCAAACTGGCCACACTTTCATTGCAATCCCTTTTCCTAATGTATACCAAGTTCTCAGATTTACCCGCATTTGCAACTCATTCGGAAAGTATAATGAAAACTATATTTGTTTTGCTCAACAAATACGCCAAATTCGGGATCAGTGACAGAGAGGACGATAACGTGCAACTCGTTGTGCTTTGCTTTAAGACTTTGAGTCTCTTTATCAAAGACAGGACTGATGTCCACATTAATGACGAACAGATGGCCGTTCTCTTGTCATACGTCGATCAGGACTTACACAACGACTCGCATCAGTCGACGGTCTTTATTATATTGAAGTCCATTATTCATCGCAAATATAGTTCACATGCTTTTCATCGTATTATGAAGAATGTGACCGAAATGTCCATTACATCACAGATTGATTCCGTTCGCAGTACTTGCAGTCAATTGTGTGTCAAATATCTGACAGAATATTCTCAGGCAAACCATTTGACTAAACGAATCAATTTCTTCATCCGACACCTCGAATACGAGAAGACGTCGGGCCGGGAGTCGGCCCTCTATGTACTCAATCATCTCATCTCAGAACTAAGTTATGAATATTTGCGCCAAAATATAGCCGTCTTTTTTGTTCCCCTTTCCTCGCGATTAGTCAATGAGACTGAGAGTGAGGCCAAGAAATTAGTGGCCGATTCACTCACCAAACTCTTGAGACGACTCACGCAAACAGATAGAAGTGATTTGTTTAATGATATGATTATTCCGTGGCTTAAATCTGAACCACTTCTGCAAACACTGTTAGCCTCACACCTCTGCTCTTTGTTTATGTCAGTCGAGAACAAAGACTTCTTGAATCGATTGCCAAGTTTTCTCCCATTAATTAAACAACAATTAGATCCGTCCCGATATGACAGTTCTATAAACACGGATACCGGTGCCGCAAAGAGTGCCGATAGTCTTATTTATCAACATTTGAATCTATTTATAAGGCTAATGAAAGTCGACCCGCAATTCATTAAGAAAAGTCAGTTCATCGATGATGTGAACGCAATATTAGATTATGTAATATCTTATCATTTACTACATCCACACCTTTGGGTTCGAGTGATTTCAACGCAAATTTTCGGTCAATTATTTTCTCAGTACTCCACCGAATGTTTAGCCCATTCTATCAACAATTCTCTACAAAGTTATGAATTTTTAATTTGCGATACAAATGAGAAATTGCGTCAATTGGGCACAAAGTTTTGCCTTTTGTTTCGCGACATTTATAACGGAGACGTATTGAGCGATCAATTGCTTAAAAACTTAGTTTTCATTTCAAGAGTTTTTATTCAGTCGTCAGCAGAAAATTGCAATGATTTGTCTTTTAAATGGCTTTTAAATAAATTGGTGTTTGAAGTGAAGTATGAATTGAAAAATAGCCCACATCTCACACAAAAGCGTGTTTGTGTTATCAAATGGATGGCAGCGGTAGCCGTCGAGTTGGCCACCGATCGATTGGAGCAGTTTTTGCCAAACTTTTTGCCACTTCTTTGTCGTGAAGAGTCTAATGGTGACAACTCGACCGAAAATGAAGTGCTCGTTCTCACCAAACAAGTCCTCCAACTCTTCAAGAATATTATAGGAACTGAAAAGTTCAGCGAATTTTATACGAAAGCGAGAACTGAGTTGACTCTCAAAAGACTTGACCGCAAGAAAAGCCATGCGATTCAGGTTTGAATGATTTTTATTGATTAGATTTATAAGTTATCTCTTAATTAATGATCTTTTATTTGAATTGATTTGTAAACAGTCGGTGAATGATGTGATGAAGAGTTCGAAACGAAAAATAGAGAAACACAACAAAAACAAGATCTCGAAGAAGAGAAAACATTCAAATCTAAAGTCAAAATTCAATTGACCTATAATTAGATGATATTGTAATCAATCCATTCACTAGTTTTGATTGAATTTAATAAATATATCAAACCTTTCAATGAATGCCTAGAGTTGTAAAACGATATTTAATTTAAAATATTATTGGAATTTTTGAATGAAATAAATATTTTTATTATATTTTAAAAATCAATTTATTAATTAAAATCTAAATTGAAATCTATACAATTTGAAATTCTTAAAAACATCACAATTTGATAACATATTATATAAATTACAAAATTTGAGGATAGATTAGTATTTCGATGAAATGTTCAACTTTTGCATTAAAATTCTAACTTCAGTACTAAATTAGTTTCCAACAATGGATTCCTATGACACGCTATTGACTCAAATACTTTTAAATCAATTATTTCCAAAATTAGATGTGAATATATTTTAATGACAATTTGTTTGTATTCTATAAAAATATTTTTAAAAATAAATTCTACTCAATCATGAAAAATATGTTTTTTGTGAGCCTTTCACACAGTTTGAAACGATTTAGTCGTTTGTTCTTTGAAAGTAAACTCCATATAAAAACCTAAAACTGATTGTAAGACTGACTGACGTATTGACTTGTGATCTGCAAAACAAAACCTCATCTTTTTTAGTAACTTAAGGAATGTTTTCACTTTGAAAATAACTTTCAATAAATGTACACTTAATCTGTGATTAACATGAAATCATTAGTTTTTTATATATAAATAATTTACACAATTAAAAGCAATTAAAACAAGAAATTAGTTAACAGTTTTGGTTGTCAGAGGATTGTCTTCGGCTTTAATGTGAATAATGAGTGGAAAATTCATTAAATATTAAATTGAATAGAGTTTTAATGATCTCTCTGTCTGTCTCTGTCTTTCATTGTGTGCACACATTGACAGCGGAAATAAGTGTTGATTATTAGGGCGTCTGACGTATGACTAGCTCTGCATTATATCTCGTTTCCTCCAATATCTACACATTCATCAATTGATCCATAAGTCGACCACTTCATCAAATTCTGTCCATTAATTCACGGTTTCTTTTAAATCGAAATATCATTTCGATTCATCAAGTATGAAGCGGTCATATTTATTATACATTTAAAAATAATTTATTTTTTTAAGATTTAGTTTCACTTCTCTTGATATGATGTGCTTATAGTATAGGATATTATGATTTGTTTCAAGTCATGCAATCATTGATTGATTTTTACACAATTTTTTAATTAACTTGAAATGACTGAAGTGTTTATAGAGTTCCGGAATTTTGATGCAATCTTACGATCAGTATTTCATTTCTAATATAAATCGTTATGAAATATTAGCACAAATTCCCAGATTATAGTTGAGCTGCGATTCAATCGTTTAATTACTATTCAGATTGTCATCACAATAGCATTGATTCAGTAATGGATGGATGTCTTCAACTTCAGAAGTATTCTCCTTCTGTGGACAGTCATCCGAGTCGACGATGTCGTGTCCGATTCCGTACACTTCTGGAGTGTTTTTGAAGTTAATAATAATAATAATGGACTTTATTTAAGAAGTCCTCTTAAATTAATACAAATGTATTGCAACGGATAGTCATTATAGAGTTGAAGCCCTCATTAGAGCAATATATACAACATATTCAACAACAATAGGGCAATGAATATCATATCTTATATACAGCGGTGTTGTAATGTTGTGTGGGTTTAGTTGAGACTTTGCTATCAGTCTATCAGTCAATACCCCTTCTCATAGTAATTAAAGGCAAACCATTTCTTGAATCAATCATTTTTTTGTGGATAGTTCTCAGAGTTTTCGGTCTTCATGTCAGGGATATGTGAAGCCATTATTCTCTCGATCTGAAGCTGACATTCACGTAACAGATCCTTAAATATAATTACATTTCAATTAGACATAACATATATACAGCTTATTAGAGTCAATATTTTGATTCAAATGAGTCAACACATGGACACAAGAAAGAAAGAAAGGGTACAAAAACTCTTTGCCACCCATATGTCTATATGTGTATAAGCCGACCGCCTAGGCCCTAGACTATCGGAAGCTTTGATTTTATGGTGCATGAAATTTATTTATGTTTGCAATCTATTTGTTTTTGTTAGCGTTAGACTTAATTTCAAGAAAGAGTGGTTTATTTAAATTAAATGTTTTTTGAGAAGCTTATAGTATTGAGAAGTGAAAGCAAACTAATGGGACGAACACTGCCGTGAGTTCTGGGAATCAAATAAAGTTTGAATTCAAAGAATAGTCATTCAATAGAGGCCTGAAGAGCGCTACTTAGACTGTACAAGCAATCTATGCCTAAAAGTGGACATCTCTTATACAATCAATGTTTGCAATGAGAACATTAAATAAGACTTAAAAATGCCAAAATATGTTTGTTGTAAAATGATACATTTTTACCTATATATTGGTATATCTACTATAAGTGGTGTTCACTGTATGCGACGGTTGTGAATATTCTCACAGCATTACAAGTGAATTGAACACAACATAAGAGACCACATTCCACATGCCTTACAGTTGGGTAGAGTTGCCAACAGCTCTATGCTATGCTATGCAGGCATTGCCAGCCATTCAGACAAAGCCAGCGAACAAAGAGAATAAAGAGACGGAAAGCTTTCATTCTTATTAGTATTCTATGCATTCTCTCCTCACATGAGACACAAGTATGTGTTGTAAAGACTATAACGACTATAAAGTAGTCATTAAATGAGTAAAAAATAAAGTCACCCCAGAATCCAAATAAATGTTCCGGTGTTTCAGTGCTTTCGACAAATGACAGTATTCTTCAAATACTTTAAAATTTGTGCAGATATTAAGCGGTTGTAAAGAAATAATGGCAATACAATACAATATTTAGGCAATATTTAGGCATAATGTGAGACCTATTGTTAGATAGAAACTAATGGGCGACTTAACACTCAGTGCCCGAAAAACACTGAACTAATATTTTAATAATTTTGCTCAAGGGGAACAACACTCCAAGCAATTGAAACCCATAGCATAGAATAGATGAGAATCTGTGTTGAGAGAGAGAGAGAGAGAGAGCGAGAGAGAGAGAGAGAGAGAGCTCTACCCGGAGATGCATTTGAGGCGATATTTTACATTTAAATAAAAAAAGCAATAACTCTGAGAACAAGTGGCGGTTCAATATGTATGGCTAGTAATGAGTGGAGCGTCACTTGTAAGCTGATGGGGGACTGGTATGAACAAGAAGTTGGCACATAGCACATGGAGGCGTGGTGTAACCCTATTCCCAAAGTATACATGACTTCAATGCCTACACTACTGGATGGTGGAGTGCCTGTCGGCAGCTATAAAGTAGGAATTTGGAAATTGCCTCCCATTCCTCTCAGTCCTGTTTGCATGAAGACCTTCACGCAGTCTTAGATTGCAGTCTATAAAGCTATTATATATAAGCCATGGCCGGCCTGAGCGCCACTTTTGTCAAATTTAGAGGATATGTGGGAAACTTATTACAATATAGAAATTCTTTTAATTATGTTGTAATTTTCGATAGCATAAAATATATACATGGCAAGTTAGCTAGGTGATCCTTACCAGTTCTATTCCAGTGATTTGATGCAATTGGAAAATCATAGGTATTGAATAACAGAGATTATTGTTCTCGAGTCTTGTGAGCCCTTCGATGGCAGTGGTGATGCTGGCGGCCGCCAACATGGATGGCGGGAACATCGAGAATGTCCAGTCTGTTCATGAGTACCAAAAGATTCATTAATTGTAAGCATTTGAAGGAAAAGAAGTGAGAAAAGTGAGAAAAGTTCGTCGCCCTATCAGTAGGTCATTGTGCAAACATATCGTAATCTAATATCAACAACAGATAATACACACAACTGTTCCGTGTTTTTCATCTTTTCATATAAAGTCTTTGTTTCCCTTATGACATAAGCCTCGATTTAAACTTAAAATTACAAAATAAAAATTTATAACACAGTAAGCACTAAAACAATTGACTACTTTATTCATAATATACACATAAACATAAATTAGCAAAATAAAAATTTATATTTCAATAAAATTTATCTTAATTCAATATTCCCAGAGTAATAATAATAATTACACGGAATTTGTCACATATATCTAATAAAGGTATGATATAAGGACGGTATCACTACACTAACTAGACTTTATATTATGTAATTTCTAAATATTATCTAAAAAAGTGAAATTCGTGAATAAAATATATATATTTAAATAATAAAACTATAATATAATAAATGATATGATAACTAGTTGTTGACTTCTAAGACTACTTTCACTTTAAAAGTCAAATACAAGATAAAGGCATAATATTACTAAACAAGCCACTATTACTTAATTAAATAGCAGTCATTATCTCAATTACTGTTCTCAATTAATTTAATATGTTAATATATTTATGTAAATTGATTGAAAGCACAATTTTGGTACAAATCAAGTAATCGCACATTCATGAACCGGATAAAGTCTACAATGAGAATGTCTAGGAAGACAATAATGAAGTTTTCCTATTAAATCAAATATAGTAATCATTATAAACTGTGTTCACTTAAACTGTATTAACTAAAATAAAATTGGGGATTCCTATAGAATTAAAAGTGTAATTCCAGTTTGAAAAGCCGTAGAAACAGCCTAGTAACAGTTGATAGGGTTTTAAAATTAGTCAGTATGAATTCATTCAAATATTTTTCGGTATAAGTCTCAAGACCTCCGATGAAGATTTCTGTAAGAATTTATCAAAATGCACACAAAAACTGGAATTATTTTTTTAATGAATGTTTTAAAAATTTAAACGTAAATCAAAATATTTAAGATCGCTTTGAATAACTATTACTTTGAAAAAAGTATAAATCTATTTGATTAAAAAGCCATCAAAAGTACAGCATTTAACTCAAATAAATTAATGTCTGAATTGTGTCATAAGAATAACGAGTTTTAAAAATTGGTTTTTTATAATAAAAAATGTGGGAATTTTTAGCAATAAATATATACATTGTATATATAACATGGTATATGTTTGGATTACACTGTATTTATTTGTATTTTTGATTAAGTGATAAATGTTCACTGATAATATTTGGAGTCAAATGAAAACTAACTCGTCATACTCATCCAGGGACTGCATGTCTGTTACTACTGTATCACCCGTCCCTTCCCGTCCAGTCGTCCATTCGCATGACATTCCCTTCGCGTTCACACACTATACTCGACTATATATCACTGATTGCAACTTCAAAGCTTTCCGTCATTAACTTATTTAATTCATATTTAGATCCCTTATATAACTTTGATATTGCAGTGCAATATGTATTGAATAAATTCAATACGGAAAACCTTGAACATTGCCAATATCAGTGCTATATATTATATAAATTATTTGGATTTGGAGGCAGAAATGACTCCAATTTGTAGAATTGGCGACAAAAACACTCAAAGATAGACGCAATGCTATTCATTGATATTAATATATGTTTTTTAT